TGTCTGTGTGTGTGTGTCTGTCTGTGTGTGTGTGCGCGCGCACGTGTAATGAAGAGTGAAAAGGTAGACTGCTGGCTGCCCATCTCTGCTTATTTCTCCGATAATCCACTTACTCCCCTTGTTATTTCTTCATTCATTTGACCATTAATCTGTTTGTCCATTACCAGCCTACTCTTGCTAGGCTGTCCATCTGCTACTCATTCCTTTGAAAATCAATCTGTTCATCCCTTCATTAATAATATATCCATCATCAACTCACTTGTCTATATATCCATCCCTTAATTAATCCAGCTATCCATTCAGCTTTCTTTTAAAGTGTCCATCCATCAATCAACTGTTCATCCATTTATCTGTTTGACTCTTAACCCATCCATCCATCCATTCATCCACCCACCCACCCATATACCCACTACCCACCTTCCCACCCTACCATAGACCCAGTCACATTCCCAGTTATTCATCCACTCACTCACCACTCATCCATCCATCCATCCACCCATCCACCCACCAACCCACACACCCAACTGTCCATCCATCCATCTATCCATTCACCCCCAACCCCCGTTTATCCATATGCGCGCGCGCGCACACACACACACACACACACACACACACACGCACACACTCTCAGAGTCAAACATTGTGCTCAGGTTTCATGGTACAGTCTTTTATCAGAAGAAATCTGAGGAGGAGCCAGGGCATCAAGGGGGACAACTGCTGTTAGAGCCACACTAGAATCTCTGAAGCTCCAAGAGCCTTTGGCTTGCAGAGAAAATGGACGAGAAGGTGTCTGAGCTTAGAGAACCATGCTCTCTGCCCTAAACAGGGGAAGCAGGTGACAGCAGGCATTGGAGATGATAGGATGATAGGACTAGTCTGCTCTCTGTCCCTCTGATCTGGGAGGAAGGAGTCCACCCTGTTTCCAGGCCAGGAATAAATGTCTCCTTGGTGCTCTGAGCAGCCAGTGCTGTGCCCTTTCTGGTGCCCATAACGGCCCTGCCGGGACGGCCAGCCAGCTGCTCCCCACAGCAGCTGCGCTGCGCCAGTGGAGAATGCCTGTCTTCCCTGAGGCGCTGTGACCTGCAGCCCGACTGCCTGGACGGCTCTGATGAACACGACTGTGGTATGCTGTGACCCCAGGCCTGCCCACCACTGACTGCTCCCCCCGGCCCCTGACCCCTCACCTGTGCATTCCTACTCTGCAGTGGACTGTGTGCTGGCTCCCTGGTCTGCCTGGAGTCACTGCAGCCGCAGCTGTGGGCCTGGTGTCACGGTCCAGCTCCGGCAGACACTTCGGCACCCCCTGCCTGGGGGCAGCTGTGTGCTTGACCGTATCCGGAGTCAGTCCTGCTTCCTTCAGGCTTGTCCAGGTATGCTGGCCTTAGCCTGCTCCAGGGATGGTCCCTTTCTTCCCTGGGGGACCCATGGACTTAAGGGTAGTCTTTCCTGATGTATAGGGCAGTGAAGGTCAGTGAAGGCATCAGGACCCTAGGCTGTGCCTCTTCTCAAGTGCCATGGAATGATCATAATTGCCCAGAAAGTTTTTGGAAGATCTAAGGAGGGGGCAGTGAGGGTCAACTGCTGCTGGGGTGCACTCACCACTGTGGGCTGAGGGCTTTCCCCACCCAACCTGTGCATGGCCAAGGGGTCCTCCACAGCCCACATCTCACCTCCCAGCCTGGCCAGGTACCCCGTTTCCACTTTCTGCCACCCAGGGCACCCCACCTAGGGACACAGAGGTGCCTGATCTTCCCTGGTACATAATAGTTGAGTAGGTTCACTGGGATAGAGAGATGCTTCCATCCTCTGAGAACTGTTCTGCTGGTGCCTCCCAGATGGGGCACTGCCCTGGTCCTCCTGAGCACCTACCTTGTCTTGTTAGAGAAGCCTGCCTCCTGGTCTCTACCTGGAGCCCACCTGACCCTCTGCTCTCTCCTGTCCACACAGTACCTGGGGCATGGACTGTGTGGGAGGCCTGGGGACCTTGCAGTGTTTCTTGTGGGGGTGGCCACCAGACTCGGAGGAGGAGCTGTGGGGACCCACCACCCAAGAACAACGGTGCCCCCTGCCCAGGGGCCTCCCAGGAAACAACACTCTGCAGCTTGCAGCCATGTGGAGATGGCACCGGTGAGAGGCTGGGGGTCAAGAAGGGGATGTCTGAGAAGGAAAGTTGTGGTGAGGTGGACAGTGGAGCAGGCCTCAAAACTCAGGGATGCCCTTTGTCTAATGGTGTCTCCCAGACTGTGGGCCTGGCCTTGTGCATGTGAATGCTGAACTGTGCCAGAAGGGCCTCATTCCCCCGTGCCCAGCCTCCTGCCTGGACCCTGAGGCCAACAAAAGCTGTAGTGGACACTGTCTTGAAGGTGAGGCTGACCCTGCAAGAGGGTGCCACCAATGGGGTTCCAGGGGGAACTGGGGACTGATGCACATCTTCTCGTCCCTGCATCCCCAGGATGCCGCTGCCCGCCTGGGCTGCTCCTATATGAGGCCACCTGCCTGCTCCCCTCCCAGTGCCCCTGCATGGTGGATGAGGAGCTGAAGCTGCCAGGAAGGCCTTTTCTGCTGGACAACTGCAGCCTGTGGTAAGGGAGCAGCCTCCACACCAAAAGCACCTGTGTCTGAGAGCACCCTCACCCCTCCTGTGCTGTTCCTGCTTCTGCACTCCTGTGCCCTGGCACTGCACCCCATGTACCAAGAGCGCCAACACTGTTCCTGTCTCATTCTCGCCCTTGCACCCCTGTACCCTGGACTTTACCCCTGTACACTGCACCCCATGCACCTCCTATCCCATTTCTGCCCTTGCATTGCTGTGCCCTGTCCTGTACCCCTGTACCCCATGTACTACAAACACCCACAGCCCCTCTGTCCCCTTTCCTGTGCCATGCATCCCGTGTACTCTAATCCTGGAGAGTCTGGGAGACCGGTGAATTCTGGATGGACGTTGTAACTTGGTCTCCACTCCACAGCCTAACCTTTTCTTCCTTCATTCTCTGCAGCATCTGTGAGGAGGGGGCTTTGCGGTGTGAATCCAGGGACTGTCCTGTGCCCTGCAGCTGGTCAGCCTGGTCCACCTGGGGCCCCTGTGACCACTCTTGTGGCTCTGGAGTGAGGGCTAGGTTTAGGTATGTGCGTGGGCAGATTCAGGTGTGTGTGAGAACAGGTTCAGGGGTGTGTATGTATGTGACAGGTTCAGTGGTGTGTGTGCATATGTGTTATAAGTTGAGCTTTGTGTGTGGTTCAGGAGTGTGTATTATGGCACAGGTTTATGTGGGAATAGATTCAGAGGGTGGGTGTGTGTGTATGTGTGTGTGTGTGTAAGTGTGTGACAGGTTCAAGTGTGTGAGAGAGTGACAGATTTGTGGGTGTGTGTGTATATACAGATCTAGGTATGTTTGTGTGACAGATTCAGGAGTGTGTGTATGTGACCAGGGGTGTGTGGTGGGGGCAGGTTCTGGTGTGTGTTTGTTTCTGTGTGTACAGGTTGAGGTACGTAAGGTGTGTAGGTATGTATGTGTGTGACGAATTCATGTGTCAGGTGTGTAGGGGGTGTGTGTGTGACAAGTTCAGTTGTGTGTTGTGGGGAACATGTTCAGGCATGTGCGTATGTGACAAGTTCAGGGGTGTGCATGTGTGGCAGTTTCAGGGGTTTGTGGTGCAGACAAGAAATGGTGTGTATTTGGGGGAACAGGTTCAGGTGTTTGCGTGTGTGATAGGTCGAGTGAACCTGGGGGTTGGGCAGTTATAGGATGGTGGTCCTCTCCCTACGGGATAGTAGGGCAGGGATCCAGTCAGATGGAATCTGGAATAAGAAGGGGCAAGAGTCAGAGCCCCACTGCCCATGCTTATCTCTCAGGTCTCCCTCTAACCCTCCTGCTGCCAATGGGGGGACCCCATGTGATGGGGACACACAGGAACTTCAAGCCTGCTACACGGAGTGTGGGTCAGGTAATGCTCAGAGCCAGATGGTGTAGGTGAGGTGACATCAGTGAACCATTCCTGTCCTTTCCATCTTCTCTCACTTCAGACTGGGGAGCCCTGTGGGACTGGAACCCAAGGATCATCCTGGTATAGGGAGAAGGGAGTGGACGTGGTTAGGGTGGCCTCTGCAGTCTGGAGACACAGGCCTAGGACTGGCCTTAGCAGATGAGGGACTTCTCCCACCAAAAGGCAGGATCTAGGTCCAGGCTGTCAGCCAGCTGGAAGCAGGGGTCACCGGACTGGACAGGGAGACTTGGAGAGGAATTGAAGCAATGTTCTGCCTCGTGACTGAGGAATGAGTCTGGGAGAGGCTGGGTATGAGGATGAGCATTGGGTATGCCTTAGTGGACAGGTCAGTGAGGGCCCTAACTGACCAGTCCAGAGCAAGGGTGCTAGGACAGCCAGAATGCTCCAGTGAGAGGTCTGTCACTTCCCTCTCATCAGAGGTGCAGGGCTGGACACCCTGGACACCATGGTCCCCCTGCAGCAAGACCTGCCTTCTGCCTGGGGAACAGCCAGACTGGCGAAGACGTTCTCGGCTCTGCCTGGGCCCCGGACAAGCATTCTGCCTCGGAGAGGATGCCCAGGAGGAACCCTGCAGGCCCCAGGGGTGTCCAGGTGTGCCTCTGTCAGCTGGGCACCCTGCCTGCAGGTGGAGGTGGAGGGCAAGTGTGATCTGTACGGCAGTTCAGTTATTCTTGGGGAAACACCAGGGCAGGCCTAGCTAATGCCCTCAAGCTTCCCTCCCCACATCCCTACACCCCCACTCCCGACACCCAGGCCTGGTTAATGAATGGACAGTCCTGGGGGTATGAGGAGCAGGTCGGGCCCCAGCTGTCTCCTGCCTCATTCCTGACAGTGCCAAGTGCCTGGGGTCCATGGGCTCCCTGGTCCACTTGCTTAGTCCCCTGTGATGGAGGCATCCGGACACGTGGGCGCAGCTGCTTTGGCACAACTCCCAGGGCCTCCGAGTGCCAAGGACCCCACAGCCAAACCCAGGACTGCAACACGCAGCCCTGCTCAGGTATCTGTCCTCTGTCCATGGCCAGCTCATTGTGCCCCCACGCCCATACTTCCCATGGTGCTGGAACCCCCGCCCTGAAGCCCGCTCCTCTCCTGCATGCATAGCCTCCTCGAAGCCCCTGAAAGCCTCCCTCATCAAGGCCGCTTTGTCTCTCTCACCCAGCCCACTGTCCCTGGGACATGGTGTTCCGCTCTGAGGAGCAGTGCCTCCTGGAGGGTGGACCATGTTCTCGGCTGTGCACGGCATGGAGCCCAGGGGTGGAGTGCACTGGCTTCTGCACCCCAGGCTGCGCCTGCCCACCTGGCCGTTTCCTGCATGCTGCGCGCTGTCTGCTGCGCCACCAGTGTCCCTGCCAGTGGCATGGGCAGCTCTATCAGCCCGGAGCAATGACTCGCCCAGACTCCTGCAACAACTGGTGGGACTGGGGGGACGCTCCAGGGGCGAGGGGCATGCAGCGGGTAGGTGGGAGGGGTTGGACACCCAACCCAGTACACAGTGCATGCAGAGGGCTTTCTCCTCTGATGAATGGAGACATGGAGTCTCTTTAGATGGGCCTAGGAATCCAAACCCCAAAGCCATCTGCCTCAGAGCCACCCTGGAGGGCAGAGGACAGCCTGTGGACTTTCAAGGCTGCCCCATCCCCCTCCTGTGGAGCTGCTGATGGGGCGAGGAGGGCTTAACCACTGCACTACCAAGACACCCCAGAAACTGACACAAGCAACTCATCTCTCCTCTGGCAGCTCTTTCCCCACCCCTCTCCCAACGTGACGCCCACCCACAGGGAAACCTGAGGAGCTGGGGTGGTGATGGTACCAGGCCTGGCCAGCAAAGGCAGCAAGCCCACTTGCCTCCACTTTTCACCTCCCTCCCTCTTCCCCTTCTCCTCCTTTAGTGTCTTCTCCCTTCCTCCTTTCACTTCTCTCCCTTCCCCCTACTCCTTCCTT